TGGTATCTTCAAAAGTTTTTCTGGCAGCCTCAAAAAGCTTGTCTCTCGAGGCAATGCGGCCATCAGCATTGCAGCAGAGGCTGACTGACGTCTCTCAGATATCCAGCTTCCTTCTGGAAAAACTGGAGTTGGTCAGTAATGGGAATGAATGCTCTTTGGGGATCCTCTGATGCCAAGTCTTTCATTTGTGTTTTCTAAATGAAGTACAAAATAACAGAACTTTCCATATACTTTCCTGAAGCCTGCAGGTGGGTTAGAATTTTTGCTAGCTGCAACCGGGTGTGTTTGGCTATCTTCCTCCCCTTTGCTGGCTGAAACAGCCTTGACTGACTTAGTTAACAGACTACCACAGTAAATCTGTTCCAATCATTCAAAGACACTGCTGTCCCACCTAAGTTAAAATGGTTATTAAAACATTGCACGTGACTCCATTCACCCACCGTAGGACATGTAAATACCAGTGTTGACCAGAACTTACAAGAAAGGGAAAATTTTGCCTCAGTGTGAGAGGAAGTTGACAGTCCAGAATCCAAAGGATGGAGCACCTGCAAGGTTCCACACACAGCCTACAGCTCAAAGCAAGTCTTAAGGTCCCCTGAGCAGTGCAAATGCCAGAGGAAGGGAGGTGCCTCTCAGCTCCTTGGAGCTGCCCTAATATTTACTATGGCTCCATCTCCCAAGCGGCACGGTACAGGGCGGCATCTTCCAGACACCTGCTATGTTTTCAGATGTGCCCAGCTGTCATGGTATAGCTAAGAAAAGAAACAGCACATCCTCAGCTGGCCATTCCCATTGTAAACTTTTGACTAAGGAACAATTGGTCAACAAAATGTACAATTCTAGGGGAAAGGACTGATGAAATATTTCTGCCCTTAAATCTCTGTCACTGAAAACTATGAATTTACCCCTTTGTTTCTTGACAAATACATCATTTGGGCATCATGTCTAACCTGCCTGTGGAATCACTGTTTAATTTACAAGGTTGAAATCTTACTCTTTTAATATTTATAGAGTTGACAAGTAAACACAGATACAAGCTCATTTTTAGTTATTACCATGAACCAGAAATTGTGTGATAGTCAGGTAATGTATCTTGCTTTTAAATTAAAAAGCTTAAGTGCTTTGAAAATTATTATGAATGATACTAGGAAAATCTGGCTAAAACATGGAATTAAGCTACAACAATTAGTTGTATGATCACAGGGTTACAGAGACTTTTATATGACTTCAAATAGTTACTAAAAATAATGATACTGGTATTCAGCAAGCAATGAATATAAATGATTTATATTAATATATGATAATTTAGTCAAACTAATAACAATAAACCATAATTATAACTGAAACATTGTTCTTTTTTTCAAGAAGGCTGCTGCCTTCCACAAATCCATTGATAAAGTGGAAGCTGAGCAGTTATGAAGACAATGATCACAATCATTTAAGGACCTACTCATTATCGTGTTTAGGGGTTTTTTTGTTTGTTTGTTTGTTTGTTTTTCTTCCGGTACCAGGAATTGAACTCAAGACCTTGCATTTGCCAAGTAGGCGCTGTGCTGCTGAGCTAAATCCCCAGCCCCTCATTATCGTGTTTAAATACCTAGGATACACAAAATGTGGTTGTTTCCCTATAAGACATATCCCAATAAACAAATCCAGGATAGACTCCCCTTTTACTTCAAAAAAGGACAACATTTCACAGCTGAGTTTTATTTGGTTAACCTATTTCAGTCAGTTTTGATCCAACTATATAAACCACTTTAACAAAAGATGAGTTATAACTTCCAGTGAAATAATACTAACTCTCCTACTGCACTGAATTTGTTTGACCTACTTAACAACCTTACAAAGTGAGTTCTGCTTCTATCCTGCTTTAACAAAGGAGGAAACTGAGTTTTAAGGAATTTGTGTGAGATGACACAGCTAAGAATCACCAGAGGAGAAATTTGGATTCAGAGATCCTGCTGGTTCCAAAGCCTATATCATCTCGCTGTAATGATACCTAGGTAAAATTTAAAATTAATAACATTCCTTGTACACCAGGCACTGTGTGAAGCCATAGATAGATAGATAGATAGATAGATAGATAGATAGACAGATAGATAGACAGATAGATAGAGATAGATATATGATAGTCAGATATTGCTTAGTGATGGCGATGCATTCTGAGAAATGTGTAGTTAGGCAGTTTTGTTATGCAAACGTCACGAAGTGTATTACACAAGCCTGGACGGCCCAGTCTACTATACAGTGACACAAATGATATAGTCCATTGGTCCTAGGGCCATGATGAACAAATGCACATGACATTAAATCAGCTACAAGACAGACTGATACAAACAACAGATGCACTAACACAAGATGTGTGAGGCTGCTGCTGGCATAAGATAGCATCCTATTGTATTGATATTTTTTAGTATAAATGGGAGTACACACTAAAATAACAGAAAATGAGAGCATATAAATACATCACCCAGCTTACTTGGCTGGATTTTACATGGTGATTCTTACCTGCTTGATCTTCACAAGTTCGGGTGAGTGGGTCTGCCTCAGTTTCCTGAGGTCTCTCTCCCAGCCACAAGGTCTTTTATTGTCATTTTCATGTATTATGTAGCATACATAGTTGCATGCACTATACTTTTTTTCTCTCTTCCTCAGTTCCCTCACCTTTTATTTTTTTATTTTAAAGAAAATTGAAGAAAAAGAACAATAGGAAAATGCCTACAACATAGACAAAAACAAAACAGAGCAAAAACAATAAGAATGATACAGGGTTTCAGAACAAAATGATAGGGATTAACAGTGGTTGTCATATTACATAATTTTATCTTCATCAGAGTTGCTCAGATTACCAGATGTAAGAATGCAAGATTAATCAAACCTTTAAAGAGAATAAAAAATAAAATATACTTTTACACAACTGGTAGCACAGTGGGTTCATTCACACTAGGATCCCCACAACACGTAAGCAGTACGTCATGTTATGATGTTGTCAACACAGCAGCACATGACTCTATTATCACATTAACCTCACAGGCTGGGACACCTGGATACAGGTAAGAGGAATAACAATGGAATCATTCTATATGTCTTTGGCATAACATGCTAGCTTGAAAGCACTCATTGCCTCCTGGTTGTGAGACTGTAGGATGATAATAAAATGGGATTCTTTTATGTTGTCTTCCTTGCAGGGGTGGAATGGTTCAAACTAGCGAGCAGTATGAGTTTGTGCACCATGCTCTATGCCTCTATGAGAGCAGACTTTCAGCAGAAATTGTCCAGTGATTCACTGAAGACTTACCAGATCATCAGTCTCCTGGGATAATTAATCAAATGACCCCTCTGAGGCTGCTTTCAGGAGCTTCCTACGATGGAAGGAAAGATGAGCTCCAAAGCCAACCTGTGGCGCGGACTGTGGAAGGAGGGGCAACATATGCAAGATTGCCAGCCCCCTGTGTATAAGAATGAACTTGTAAGCAGCCCCCAAATCGTTTTGAAGGTCCTATGCTGATGAGGTGTGATAGATTTCTCCCACAGCTAAGGCGGATTGCGTTTTGTCTGTACTGACTATCTGCCACCCAGAATGTATGTGTGTAATATTCCGTGATAACTGTCATCAGGTGATGACTGGAAGAGCTGCTGAAGAAATCATTATTGTGTTTAGATGCTTTAACATTTGCAGAGTCTGTCTTGTGAATGGACTGCCAGATGTTCACCTGTTCCCGTGTTAAATGCTATTACCTGTCTCAGTTAACAGAACCTTGCTGCTAGCATTGCAAGTGACTGATAATGGATTTTTAACAAATAAGTCTTTGTTTTTGGAAAAAAATCAAAAGCAGTAACTATTTTATATGGAAATGTGTCTTGATAATATTATCTATTAAATGTGTATTTACGGTACCTCCTGTCAACCAATTACAGAGCACAATGATTGTCGATGGATATATATGTATTTATTCTCTTATTAGGCATAGAGGTAGCTCCTGCTCTGGAACTCTATCCACTATATTTCTACATTGTAACTTGTTTTACTTTAAAAGGGAAAAACAAATTTGTAGCAACTATGAAGTATCACGAATTTTAAATACTTGTCTCTCTTTTACTAGGAAGGGATTTTTGAATATGCTCTCTACCTGGAATCCCTCTCCCACTAAAAGGCTGATGCCTTTGGAGTTGACGCAACCTGGTTCTTCATAAGGACACTGCCTCATATGTCCTTACATTTCTGAAAGGTTTAATCCTTAAGAGACAAAATTAAAATAACTACACTCAGCAAACACCTAACTGTTCTGCTCAAAGATGAATTTTTAATGCAACAATGTTGACTTTGTTTCATACTGCCAATAAACTACTCTTAATACTAAATATTGAGTAAACTCTATTGTTTTCCTTTTCTACCTGGAAGCGGGTTATTACCTGCTTGGGGGAGCCTGAAGTAAGTAACATGATGGGTTTAATTTTAGGCAGCTGCCCCATGGTGATGACTCTCAGAATGTAATATTATCATTACTTGAGGGATAATGATCTAAAACTGCCATCATTATGTGGTTTTCCTCATAGACTCCCGTCATATTATTACACAAACAGTGTATGTTTAAGCCTCTATATCCCTTGTCATGGACCCTCATAAATTACCTGGTTTGCATATATTCAGCAGAATCACATCACCTGAAAAGATGTAATGTTAGAGGAGCATTCAATTATCTAAGATTACAATCCTTCTTCCCTCTTCAGGTTAGGAAGTCATGCGCCAGAGATGGTAGGTGACGACGTAAGAAGGTTTATTCTGCTCCTGGAGGCTAGATCTACATTTTTTTAAAAGACAGAGGTAATCATAATCCCTTCTTTCTAAGGAAACAGACAAAAGGACACTGGTGTAAAACTTCCCCCAAACAATTCAATTGGAGGAAGTGCTCGTCACTGACTTTTCCCCTCACCATGAAGGCACATTTCCTTCCTAGTCTTTGCTTCTCTTATCTGGGAGAATTTTTTTTTCTCCCCAAGCGAAGCGTGAACAGTTGTTAAGTGGAAAATGGAGGCTGGATTTTACATGGCGATTCTTACCTGCTTGATCTTCACGAGTTCGGGTGAGTGGGTCTGCCTCAGTTCCCTGAGGTCTCTCTCCCAAATCTAACCGAGGAGTCCCTTGACTTTTGAAAAGTGTCCAAAGTGAGGCAGAAACGGAGTGAGGTCTCCACGGTAGCCAAAAACAATGAGGAGGGGAGGTGAAGACAGCCAGCTGTGCCCCCACTGCTGAGATTTCTCCCCACCAGCAAGTAAATGCTCTCTGCCTGTCCCCAAATACCAGCGGCAGCGCAGCTCCTGAAAGGGATCTTTACAACAGTCAGTGAAGAGCCCAGAGGAGAAATGTTTTATTATTGTGTAGCAGGCTGTAGCATTCCCCCTGTTTTCTTTCTATCCAGGTTATAGTTCTACTTTCTTTTGTGTCAAAGACAAAAACTTGAGGAACATAGTTAAAGGGGTGAGAAAACTGGTTTTAATTGGACGTTGTCATTTGGGAAGGCTGAATGTTTGCCTTGAGAAAGCTGGGAAATTTAAGTAAAACCTCCCTGAATGGTTTGTGTGTCTAAATATCTCACTTTTCTATATGGATGTTTCATAGTGGGCTTTAACTTTTTTTACATCAATGCCAGACTTTTTAAACCTGGCACTTCAGGGAAATGGAGACATTGTCACAGAGTAAATGCTGTTCTCCAGGACTATAGAAAATTTGGTTTGAAAACAGAGCCTCTTTCGTTGGTTGCTCTTAGCTACAGATCATGATTAGAGGGGTGAGAAAATGTATTTGATGTTTATCTTCTAATCAATTTAGCCAATTTTGAAAGTTTTGGCCAGACTATGTGATTTACATACAATTACTTATTACAAGGTGAATTTAAAGATTGAAGGAGGATATTTTTTTCTAGTAATAGGGAAGGTCTGGAGTGAGTCAAAAGGTGAAAAAGGAAACTAACATTTATACACTATGGCACATGTAACTATCTGGACTAAGACATCATACCGTATTCTTTGGACGTGTCTTTCCTTAGCCAAAGGAAAACCATCTTCTTTAGATGGTTTTGTTTCCTCTCCAGGCTTCTTTTCATTTTTCCAGTGGGTGTGTGTTTTCTTCCCTAAACCACCTAAAAGTTTAAAAAAGGCGGGAGAGGGGATTTGCTAAGAGTGACACTTTGACATTTGTCATTGTCAGCCTTAGGATTTTATCGTGTTCCCCTCCCCCCAAGATTTTAAATTATATGTGCTTAATCTGGGAGTATTTGCTTGAAATGATTAAAATAGAACAATATAAGTAGAGCTAGTATTGTTACTTAGCTGATTTGTGGGCGGATAGTTTTGTTTTTAATGGTCCTTTTAACCTGTGACAGTCCTTTATAAGATTTTCATCTTCCAGAAGGGTTTCAGATTGTCCATGTCCAGAAACAACAGTGCCTTTTCATAAATCAAAAAGTGATCGTGGGTTCATGCAATGAGACCAGCCAGAACCAGCAGTGGCTATGGACTCAGGATGGAAAGCTCCAGCATGTTAAATCTGCTCTGTGCCTGGGTGTCTCCAACTCCTCCCGTGGCCCTTCGCGAGCTGCTGTCTTCTCCCACTGCTCCCAGGCACCCCGATGGACCTGCTATGAGAAGGAAGGGTTCCTTGAGGTGGAAAATACATCTTTCTTTCTCAAGAAGCAAGGCTCTAAGGTAGTGATCAAGAAGGGCAGGAAATACCTCCATAGCTGGATGAAAATAGAGGCCAATGAGAAGGGAAAACTGGTCAATGAAAGCCTCTGCTTAAAAAAAGGTGAGCTATTCCTTTCAGAATCAGTTCTCAAAGTCCTTCTATTAAATGTCTTCAAATTAAACATTTTTACTGTGCACTTAGTTCTCTATTAGAGGTTTGCTTTAGGAAGTCATAAAAGACACACTAACTGAATTACAGTATAGTAGGTACATAGGACCTTACAAATCACTGGAGAAATTATCTAGAAATGAAGCCCCTCACTTAGGAGAATGAAATTTGTCAAGGTTAGGTACATGGTTCCAGATCACTAGTAAAATAGCTATGATTAAAACCAAAGTTTCTTAATTTCTTGTCCAGTATATATTCCATGACACCTATAGCTCTCAAATGCAGGATTATAGACTTTTGCCCAATGGGGGGCATGAAAATCCCTAGGGGAGGGGGATCTAGATTTGTACATAATACTTGATGTTTTTACAAAGCTTCCCATATAATACGAGCCCATAATCCCCATTTAGGGATCAGCATCTACTGTTCCCATAAATCTTTTCTTCTTTCTTTTTGAGATTGACAGTTTTCTGGCACTTGTTTATTTCATTAAGTTAAACAATTAGATGCCAGTTGAATGCAATGGGGTCTTCTACAATGGAAGTTAAGAGTTATAGGTCTTGTTCTTTTATAATTTCTGACTCTACAAAGAAGATAAGGATTTAAATGTCAGGTAGAAAATTCAACTTTGTCAGAAAATATGCAACATATGGTTCCAATCTGCACAACTCATTTCCCATGGCTCATTTATCAAACAGGACAGAAACATTCATTGTAAGTATACCAGTTGTACTGCTATACATAGGAAGTGAGATGCTTCCCCAAGCCTTAGCAGAAGATTCTTTAATTGGAACTTTACAGAAAAGTAGATATGGACCCAGTACAACACTATTCAAGTCAGAAAATAACTCATGAACATGCTATCTCCTTTGACCTTTGACACTCATGGAAAATATGTCCAGTGATGGACTTAAAGAGTAAAAGTAGATAGAACAGATCTTTTGTAATAAACTACTACTGTGCCATATCCAAAACATAGTCAGTAGCATGAATTTAAAAAACAATTTTCTAGAAAAAAGCAGAGTTAAAATTTTAAAATCTTATATTTGAATATATGTAAATACACTATATATTCTTGCTTTAACACAATTATAAGCTGACAGGCATATCTTTCTGCCCTATCTTCAACTTACTATTAATTAGAGATTAAAAATGATATATAGCATAACATAAAATATGATATTTGTCTTGCTAGAGAAGCCACAGTGAAAATTAACTAAAATGCATTCTTATGTTTGCAATGAATGGTTCCAATGGACATTAAAAGTGACTTTTTAAGGTTAACAACCAAATACTAGAATCTAAATGAGCGCAAATATGAAATATGCACATTATTCATCCATAGGTTATAAATTTTCCTTACATTCTTTAGTAGAAAAAAGAAGAAAGTGAAGGTAAAAATCTGAACCATATTTGTCATGTTTGCTTCATAACGGAAACATTCGTGACTTCGTTCAAGCATCCAAGTAATGTTTCTCTAAATCTACTATGTGCCAGAAATTGTGCTGTAACTAAAATACTTGACACCGGTGATTCTCAACCCAAGCTTCATATGAGACTTAGTTGGTAGCTCTTAAATAATACTAATGCCTGGGCTCATCCTATAGGTCAATTACATCAACTATTGTACTTGCAAAATGCTTCCTAGGCGATTCTACTGTGCAGCCAAGCTTGAAAGTCAGTAATTAGTTCTTGCTCCCTAGAGTAATGGGAGGACAGGGAAGCAAATACACAGTTATATTAGAGTGTGATAGAAAGAAACCACCCTTCTTCCAATACACAATGCCACTATGTCACACTGAGCACTCGTTCTTTGAAACATTTTGTAAGGATAACTTAAAAATTGTGCATTTTTCAAACAGCATTTTGAAGGTCCACAGGGTTCTATCATAATTTAACTATTGCAGTTTTCACTAAGAGCTTTGGCATTGCTTTTCTCTTTCTATTTTACTTGTTCAATAGAATTTCAAAGTAGATTAAAATTCAATTTAAAAATCACTGAGAACAATTTTTGGATGAATGTCTATAGTATAGTAAAGTATTTCAAATAATTGTTGCTAGCATAAGAATGTAAAATTAGCCTATCTCTTCAAATTTTTCATATAATCATATTTCTTTGAAACCCCTTAATGCAACATATTAGCAAGACAAATGAAACAGCAGAATAATACTTAATGGGGCCTAATTGGTAGGAACTTAATTAAATAAGATTTGTGGATTGCATGGTACAGGAACACCTGGCTGTAACAGATGACCAAAGTGAAGACCATGCTGGGTTGAGAGTTTCATTACCTCCTCTGAATTTCAAATGTACCCTTTAAGAATAATTCTGTATCTTCATTTTAGACAAAGGAAGACTATCTCTTGTCAGACATACTCTCTTTTTAAAAAAAGAAAATCAGCGTTTTAAATAATTATTTTTAAAATTTGAACCATACAGCTATCATTCTTAGTCATAAGAATAATAATAAGGGGCCCAAGATATAGTTCAGCGGCACAAGCACCTGCCTGGCAAGCACAAGGTCCTGAGTTCAATTCTTGGTACCAAAATAATAATAATAATAATAATAATAATAATAATAATAATAATAATAAAAGGACTGTCTCCAAAACACCAAACTATCTAGTTACAAATTTGAAAAATATCATTCTCCCATATATATTTTGTCAGTCAGATACCAAATATTTAAAAACATTCATGTTATACATTCGTGCAAGGTAATCATCGATAACACAATAAGATCTGTTGAATAGCACTGACTTTTTGTATGATCACACATTTGAACATTTCAGAGGAGTACTATTACTTTAAGAATGAGTCCAGATCTCTAACTTTCAAAGTTTTGAAACCTAACAATCAGAAATGTAGAGCTTCCTGCTTAGCTTGACCTTACACATAAAGATAAAGTTATATTGACCTGCATTTGGGGTGTATTTGCACATTAATGCATTCCAGGAGTGTTCACTTGCAATTTTATTTTAAAAACCAGTTTTCTCCTTTACCAAATCTTTTTGAAAATGCCAGAGATACAGGTGAAAAACCAAAAAAGTAAATTACTACCCGATAAGCTGGTTGAGAACAATGATTATGCCTTGAGTCTTTTCATGAAGTAGCCCCCCTACCACAGGGATAGTTATAACACCCTCCCCCAAGTGGAGACCTGAAACCACAGATAGTACTGACTCCTGTATATATTGTGTTTTTCTTATATATACATGCTAATGATACGGCTTAATCTAGGCACAACAAGAGATTAACAATAGGTAATAATAAATTAGAACAATGGTAACACTCTACTGTAATAAAACATGTGAATGTGATCTCTCTCTAAAACATCTTTTTGTATTTTTATTTTTTCACTTAAGGGAAGCACTTTCAGGCCTCTTTCTGACATACACAAATTACGAGAGTCACAATGCTTACACTCCAGGGCCATTATTAGGGAAAATAAAGGTTACCAAACACAAGCACTGTGACACCACAAGTTGATCTAGTAATCAAGGTGGCTACTAACTTACTACTGGGCGGGTAGCACATAGAGTGCAGATTCGCTGGAAAAGGAAATATTCAAGCCCTGGCCACACAGAGTGGCAAGGCTTAAGATTTCATCACGACCCAGAATGGTGCACAATTTAAAATATAAATTGTTTACTTTAGAAATTTTCCATTTAACAGCTTTAGACTATGACTGACTAAAATGGAAAGTGAAACTACTGGAAAAGGGAGACTTTTTGTGCAGTAATGGGAATTGAATCCAGGGTTGGACGTGCTAGACAAGTCTTCTACCACTGAGCTACAGCCCAGGAGGGGGGCTTTAATCTTGTCACCCAGGCTCAACAAATCCTGATTAAATGAATAAATGTTTCAACTTTCAGAAAGTGCTGAATATCAAAATTGTAGAAAATATTAAAGAAAGAGTAAAGGTTTGAGGGCTACTTTGAACAATATTATATTAAAATGATACCTATTGCTGCCTTTTATCCAATCCAAGCATAAGTTTTAAACCCAAGCCATCAAAACATACAGTTGCATCTATTCCAGGAGGAAATAGCCTTAGCCTAGCAAATAGACAACAAACTTTACAGTGGCCCAGTCTTGTAATTTTATGAATCTACTTGATAAGAAAAATAGCTCATTACTTGACTTTCATATCTATATAGGAAAGAAGGGACTTGACTTTAAGGAATTTATTAGTGTGGGAGATCTAAGTAAATAATCTTTGACAGAGATTAAAACATTTTAAACTTGAAACTGGCTTCAAAACCAACATACACGCACACAAGCCCATTAACAGACTGTGTGAAAGTTCTAGACAAAGTACAAAATCCCATCGTGGTTTGAATACCTTCTTCAAGGGATGCCAAGTCTTCTTACATTTCTAAAAAGCTGGATGGTTGCCTGAAATTATTTTCACTCAGATGCTTCAGATTAAGAGTAGCTCTCAGTATAAAATCTCAGCCAACAAACCAACATTTGGTTACATTCAGTACTTACAACACCTTAGTTCATCCAAATATCATATTCATCTGGGGGCAAGCAAATTTTCAAGTGTCCTTGATGTGGTCAAGTTGATGAAATCACTGAAAAAGATTCCACTGATGCAGGAAGCCATATTCTTAGCAGGCTGATATAACTTCTGGTTAAAGTAATTGTTTAACGGTAATAATTCGGATGGGAGGATAAAATGCATAAGCACTTTAAAAGATAAGTAATCATATACGCTTTTGGGAGAAAAAGTTTTAGCAGAAATTATTTGCTTTAGTAGGTGGCAGAAGTATTTGTGAATACAGACAATTTATGGGGGAAACAGTGTTTTCCATATGTACAGATGCTACTAAGTGGACCAAGTTAGCTCTTGTAGCCATTTTAATATTTCTTTTATCTTCATCATCAGCACATGTCTTGTAATGGAGCATGTTTAATATAGTCATTGACGATAATGTTCGCAGTG